AGTTGTCATTTACCCAGAGTGTTGTCGGCCTGATGTTGTAGTGTAAAGCACCGGAGTACTAAAACATTTATTTAAACCAATGATATTGCTGGAGAAATATTATTTCACTGCAAAATCTTTACTTTCAACAAATCTGGCTCTGGGAGAAATGTGGCTTGATCATTCCTGGGGCTTTAAAGTTGGAGGAGTGGCTACATTTGGTGGGAATAGAGTATGTGTACAAGCTACAGTTGTTAAGTTATTAGGAGAGCAATGTCAACACAGCAACAATCTGCAAACACAGATAACAGTGCAACAGAAAGTGCAATTGAAAAGACAACAGCTCGTACTAGAAAAAAGATCCTCATATACGTGCTTTATAAGTTGCTTTTGACTTTACTGAAATTTGCACAGAAAAAAAAAACAGGTAAATAATAGAAGACACATTAAGGTCAGGATATTCATAAGGCCGCTGGGAATTTAAGACTGATGTCTTCATGGTATTTAACAGCCCACAAAAGTCTCCCAAACGTACAGCTCTTCCATCGGAATTCCTCCGTGTTCTAACTGTACATCAGTCTGTCTGCATCCCTGTGTTGGGCCCTTCCCACAGTCTGGCCTCGATCTTGCTCAAATTGGATTCGAAGCCATTAGTGTACCAACTCAAAGCATATGTTCCAAGTTGCTGAGCATTTCATTTCACGTGATGATGATGAGGAGGGGACTGAAGGGAAAAAAGAAAAACAGAAAGGAGGAGGGGGAGAAAAAAAAAGGGGCTAAAAAAAATAAACCAGACATAAACATGGCAGGAAGGACTGTGTGGCTGAACTCACAGACAGAGTGACGTCCCCTCCTCTGAAGAAAGGCCACGTTGACTTCAGGGTCATGTTCCTGAGCATTAGCCTGGAACTGCCACAGTGTTTGAGTGTGTCTGTGTCTGTCTGAGTGTCTACACTAAACCAGAACATTTTCATATGTGGTTCAGACGGTTATACCTGCAGCAAACCACGGAAGGTACTGCTGTACTCCATCATACAAATATAAATATTCAGCGTAAGGGCGGGGGCTGATGGGGGCATTAGAGCACGGATAGTATTTCACAAAGGCCAGAAGTGCCTGGTTTGATATTTCTACCACATCTTTTACTTTCAAACAAGGAACAATTTTATTTATGTCCAAATTCAGTTAATGCAAAGAGAGTAGAGAGACCCAGATTAACCTTGAACAAGTCAGATCATTATCTCTCAAATCTAAACAAGTCTGTGCTCTCCCTGAACAGAGCGTGTATTCTATAAGCACTTAAATGTAGAGGGGGATGGGCTTTGAGCAGCGTATGGGTGCGAGAGCATGTAAGCGTGTGTGTGTGTGTGTGTGTGTGTGTGTGTGTGTGATCTCTGGGTTCCCAGTCTGAGTTTAAGAATGACAAAGTAAAACACTGCAGGCTCTGTGGAAGCCAGGAAACAGCCTAATGTATTTATCCAAACACATATCTGCTGAGAGGCCCCACCGCTTCAACACATCCCTTTCCTAAACGGGCTTCACTCCCAAAATCAATCCACCAGGGTGAAAATGTGAAAAGCAGCAGGTCTGCACGATTGTGGAGGAGATACACTTATACTGATAGCATGAACATTCAGTTCAACTAGAAAAAAAAAACCAACTGCATTATGGTTTCCTGAAAACACTAAAAGATTCTGAATTCACTTTCATGGCTGTTGCTCCTCAGATCGTCAGAAGCTGGAACATCTTGTTTTCACCCCTGGTGCCCGACTCTTTATATCCTTCTAAATAAACCTAATAAACAGCCTCTTTTACAACCTGAAGGCAAGACCTGACTGCAATCTGTTCTTATTTGTCATCATCTGGAATTAAACTGTCTCCAGATGACAGATGAGGATCCACTCATGCAAACTCATTTTCAGGGTTTCCGCCGTAGTTCACAGTACGTCTACGAAAAACATCTCTGGTTTATTTTCTCATCCTCCTCCAGAAAAGATTTGACCTCACATTTTGTGTGTAAGACAAATCTGCTGTTCAGATTTACCTTTGGTCATGCAGAGTTTTTACAACACTACAGAATTAGATTTTTAAATCTAAATGAACGTCATATGCCTCAAACACAATCAATGTAGAACAAAAAACACAATTGGTTTGATTAAAGCACAAAGACACATTATTTCCACAGGAAACTGTGAGAAGGTAACCTCACTCTGAAATTATTAAATGAAAATAATAATAATAAAGAGTTAAATATGAGGGTCAGCTCCATTTTTTTAATGGTTTATCTGACTTTGTGTGGTCTTTGTGGTGAATTAAATTGGAATTAAATGACTTGAGCTCGAGGTGACCTTATTTTTTTTACTAAGTCTACGGCACCACAGCTTGCAATTCTGGCAACATTTCCTAAATCTGAAAATCCAAACCATACAGTTAACAAAAATAATGCCCATGTAAAAACACCAGGAACACCAAAGCACCTTAAGCTTCAAATGTCACGAGCGGCTTGAGTCAGACCAGCCTCACTGAGCGAAGGGCAGTCAGTAAGTCTATGGCTGAGCAGCCGGCTGACACAAATGTCAAATGTGAGGACATGAGCTTCATCGAAGTTCTGAAAGCAACCTGGTACCACTGATGCACTGACATGACTACAATCCACCAAATCTACAAAACTTGATTTCACAGATTTGGTCTTTTTTTGTGACATATTTCAGCAGTTAAATGTCCTGCAATGTACAGGTATAATTTAGGAATGTTGAATTGAAGTTAGGTAATCATCAGCTACTCTGTGATTAATCAGATTAAAATTATTTTAATACATATATTTATGTACATATAGATTGATGGGTTCAGGAAAGTAACATCGACTACAATGAGAAGTTGAACTGTAAAGTGCTTTGCAACACTTCAGCTCTAGCAATAAAATGTTGTTGTATTGTAATTACCATGAAAGACAAAATGTGATTTTATTCACAGCTTGTACTCTTGGGAGGAGAAATCCAGGATCTGCTAGACGACCAGCGAGGAGGTGATATGAATTTGTGTGAGAAATCCAGGATCTGCTAGACGACCAGTGAGGAGGTGATATGAATTTGTGTGCATCTACATTTTTAGTCAGAACTGCTAGACCTGACAATCTGTTATTCATCCATTTTGCCTTCGAACACAGACACACTATAGTTTGCAAATTTTATTTATCTCAATTTGGTCAAATTTTTACTGGACAGCAAACACATATTTTCTTCTTAACGACTAATCATTTTATTGTAACCTAATGTCAACAGATTAATGCTGACAAATAGTTCATGCATAAGCACGAGGGCAGCATTTCTGTATTTCCGTTCCTAAATACATTTTAAACTAGGGTTAAATAATTATATAACAAAATACACTCTAGTGTATTATAATTTATCTGCATCTTAAGTCATCTTTCAAGTGAGGAATAAATAAAATAAAATACTAAAACTAAACAGGACATACAGAGGTCTGGTCGTTGCAGGTTACCATTTTACACAGCACTTCAAATCAATACAAAAACAACAGAAAAACATTGTGCCTGACTCACAACTAAAACTAGACACAATGTTTTTGCTAAATCTGATAAAAACAACAAGTGGAGACGGCAGACGGCAGCCCTCTGTTAAAATCCTGCCCGCTGATAAAACACACAGTGTTCTGTGCAGTGTTTTGATGTCAGACGCTAAAGGGTCACAGTGCTCTGACCCACTAATGAGAGGCAGAACATAACCACATCAGACAGGACCTACGCTAAGCAACTGGTCTTATAAATAAATGAAGAGAGCACCGTAATATGACAAAAGTGCCTGTGCACCACAATGACAATGTGGCACAAGTGGTTAGAGTATCATAAAACCACCACAGTGACCAGAAGCATGACAGAGGGAAAAGACAAGTCAGAGAAGAGTCTCCTCAGATCTTCAAATATCTGAGCGAGTTTGTGCCTTAACTGAAAATATGTTTTTAGATTTTTTTTTGTTGATATAAAAAACATTTTTGTTTAAATCCATTTAATTCAATTTAATTTTTTTTTTTGTACTACCAACGTCCACCAAACCATCTCCTAAAATTAAAGTAAATTAAGGATTGAAGAGAAAGCTGCTGCGTCAAGCAGGCACCTGATGGGCTACCCTATCTTCACCACAAAAACAAATCTTTATTCCTTCTGCTATGGGATGACTAACAGCAAATAGTCCATACAGTTTGTGTGTGTATGCGTTTGTTTGCACGTAGGATTGTGTGCACTTACATGTGGACATGAGGAGGTTGAAAGCGGCTCTGGTTGATGTTGTAATGGGTGAACGCCTGCGTTGGGTTAGAGCTGTACTCGTCCACCGTGATGGTCACTTTGCCATGAGCCATCTTTCCGCCGTTTGGACATGAGACGCCGTTCATTCACCGGGATTCAGTAGTGCAATGTGCAGCAGACATCCTTCAGATCCACTCAAAAAGACCGGCAAATCCAGCAGCGGCTGCAGCAGCAGCAGCAACCTGGGCAATTGACTCGACCAACACACTGCAGTGGTATCTGCCCCTACAGGAGAACAGAGATTCACACATATACATACATACGTCAGTTCATTCAAAAAAGGACATGCAGTGCTTATTTAATTATACATTTTGAATGAAAATAAATTGTTTAAGAAATTTTTAATATTTCACTTTGCCTAAAGTACAAAGGCAAAGCTCTTTTTGACATACAGTACATTTTTATGTTTTAATATCTGCAGTAACTTCTCAGGGCTTCTATAAGAATAAGGACCTCGAGTCCTACAATAACAGAAACCAGTCTTTGTAAACCTTTACTGCAAAATTACAGTTTTGCAAGTCACTAGACATAGAATAATTTTACCTAACTGTTTTGCTCAATATTGTTTCTCATGTCAAGAACAGAAAAAAAAACTGGATGGTAGTAAAATCTGGAAAGCTTCCTCTAGATTGCATTTCCGCTGCCCACCATAAAAAGGTAGATTTAAAATTTACTGCGCACATTCTACAAGAAGTTATTTGCCAGCTGAAATTAAACACAACAAGCAAGGAGAGCAGGTCGAGCCTCTGCAGGTGAACTGATTGTTGCTTTTGATAAAACTGGAGGGAAAAAAATGCATAAAGAAAACACTAAAACTTCACTGATGACAATAAAAACACCTGCATATCGATACAACCTATAACATGCTTCTGTCGTCTGCAGGCCTGCTGAAACTTCTCATCGTGTCCGTTTCTCCATATTTTGCATAAGTCTATGTTGTATAAAAAACAAACGTTCAAGCCGTTCTTTGGTAAAAGAAAGAAAAGAAGCAGTTATTCCTGCATGTCTTCAGATTTCACTCACCGGGTCTTGGATGTTTGATCCCCCTGCACCCTGAGCTTCCCTCCTGTCTGATCTCTTCCTCTGATAGTAGAGTGGCCTCTGTGAGCTTGACAAGCTTTATATACCCGACCTCCTGATGCAGCCACAAGCACACAAAGGAAAGAATAAATAAATAAATAAATACAGGGTCCTCACTTTATAAATAAATCTGCCGCTCCTCACTCCACTAAATGGTTAACAGCCTGATGCAGCAGCGTGCTTTCAGCTGCACACAGTAGTGTTCAAGATAACAATCAATTTAAGTCAAAATAAAATAAACAAAAAATGACTGTCATGTGTGCACGGAAGCACTGATTCATGTTTCTGGGTCAACTGCGTTCTGCTCCTTATGACGTGTGCGTAAGAATTTTAGTCTGCAACATTTATTGCAGACCAGAAAACGTATACACATAAAGCAGCTTAAACTGAGTTAACACGCGCGCCTGTGTGTGTGTGTGTTTTATGTATAAACTATAAATTTAAAAATAAATAAAAACATGTTCTTCGACAAAATTAAGTAATGAGCGTATACTGAAATATAGTAATTATTTTTTGGAAAAAAAAAAGCCCGCCATCAGATGCCTTTGCATTAACTTCACCTTATTGCGATTTTTTTTTTAAATTCTAAAATCTTCATTACCAGCAAATATAATGCTGCTGCAGCTGCTGCTGAAACGCGCTCTTTTTGCACATGCAGGCCAATAATGTGATCTGTGTGCAGCCTGCTTCACACTTTCCTTAAAGCGTCCTCGTGTATGTGTGTGCGCGTGTGTCCAATCGCAGTCGTCTACCTTATGGCTACAGTAGCAGCAACTAGCTCTGTAGCTTAGCCTTATAAACCTGCACAGCTAGTACATATGTTTTATTAAACTCACTGTAGCCTCGCACTGTGCTGCGTTTCAGCTGACCGCACATACACATAACATATCAGCACTGTCGTTGTAACAACGCCATGCAGCCAACTTCAGGACTGGGAATCACTCCGGTGAGGAGAGAGGAGGAGGAGGAGGAGGGGGAGAAAAGGAGAATAAATTGACCCTTTCTGATACCACGCATAGACACGACAAGAGCAATGCGCTGCTCGCCTTTAACATTGCACAAATGTGCATCAGAAAGAAACGTCCATCCATCCCGTTTTAGGCTCCAGGACGGATATTTGGGAGTAAAACGGCCGGAGGTGGCGGTGAGTGTCACCGCACCGCCGCGCTAACCTCCTGCTCCTCCACGTAAATGACAAGCCACCTTTTAACCGACGGCTTTGTGTCAGGAAATTATTTTTTTTATCCTCCCCGTCTTTCTTTCTTCTGCTCTCTCCCTTCCGCTTCAGTGACCGAAATAAAGCAAAAAAAAAATGTTGCTCTACCTTGGTCGTGTGGGGTTTTTGTGAGGTTTTTTTTTTTTTTTTAAAAAGAGTGTCGGGTCGGGGTCGCCCTCTACGCGGTGACGGCGGCAGCAGCAGCACCAGCGACGGCGACAGAGGAGGAGGAGCAGCGACGCGGGTCCATGCGGCAGCAGCACCAGCAGGAGCAGGAGCCGAAGGCTCGGAGAGAGAAAGTCTGTTCCTCCGCGGTCGTCCCGAGGGTTGTTACAGTGTGAGCGGATAGGGCAGAACCTTCGACCCGGCGGGACCTCGGCTGGCTCCTGTGGATACAGAAAGCAGACAAGAGAGCGAGGAGGGGGCAAAGAGCTAAGAAGAGAGCAGGGCGAGAGACACTGACAGACAACGGAGTGAGAGAGAGGGTAGAGCAGTGTCGATGTGACGGAGGGGGAGCCGCGGAGTGTAGTGTGTCGGAGCAGCCACTGGGGTCAGAGAGCAGAGAGAGCAAGAGCGAGCGCAACCCCCCGCCACCTCGCGTGCCCGCGCCCTTCAGCGATGGGCACGCGCACGAGTGGGAGGGGTAGGGTGTTCCGCCTCCCGCTCTGCCACTGTGCTGCGTTCACATGCTGTCGAAAATTACAAATCCTGCTGAGATAATCCTACAGAAGAGGATTACGGTCACATGGATTTTTTTGTAGCGTCCGAATTTTATTTCATTTCATTAAAAGCCCTGAATTCTTGCTCTTCCAAACGTCTTTTTTTAGGAATACTAATGCATGTTTTAATTCTAAGACTCGAGTCAATATTATGATTGTGGAAGAATACAGAGTAGCTTTTATCTATAACAATACAAAATGTTTTAATTTTGTCTACTGTGTTCACAAGTAAACATGTTCATAGAATCGATCTGCCTCTAATGTAAAGTCTAAGGCCAATAAAATCAAAACAATTGCTAGCATTAGGATCATTTTCATGTTCTTCCACAAAGAACCCTTCCTTACACTGTCTCCAACATAGAGGTCATAAGCATTTTATTTGTATCAGAAGCCCAAGTGTAAACCCCCCATTTGAAACAGTTTAATTAAAAAAAATATATAATGGAATATTCATCCAGTGTCTTTCAAAGATGATTATTTTTTACCAGCTGGTTTAAAGATTTTGATGCAAGTGCTTAAGCTCCCTCCCACCTCTTCAACCCCCCACCTGTCTCATGTACACAAGGAAAAAGACTGATATTATGGTGACTTTCCTCATCTCTCTCGCTCAACAAATGGCTGCAGTAGACATTTATGGAATGTTATAATGAATATGAAGCTGGAAGGAATCAAGTTGGTAAAAAAGACAGAAACATGACCAAAAAAATAAAATCTACTCATGCTCTGAAACTGGGTGATTTGTTTCCCTTGCACTTTCCATCCTGTGGGCGTCCCACATGCCTCAGATAAAGTGTTATTATGATAGGTTAATTTCCAGCTGTGAGGCTTCATGACAAGGCATAATAGGAAGGTTATTGATTTCATCTCATGAAATCTTATGCAGCGTTCAATATTGTGGTGGCTGCACCTTGAACTTTGCACACACTGTCCTCTTTGTTGACCAGTGTGCATGTCATATCTGATGCATCCTGATGACAAAAGACTGTAACTAAGAATGAATTTGGGTTAGTATCGAATCCAAAAATAGTTAAATGAAATATCAAGCATGATTTTATTCTAGTTCTACATGCAAATTCCCTACTTAGAATTATAGTTTATACACAATATTTCTTCGTGGTGTTGCAGGTGTGTGGGAAAATGGTTTCAGAGTATAGAAGGTGTTATAAAAATCTATGATTAGAATACAGCGTGCTCCCCCTGGGTCCAAAAGTAAACAACACTAATGAGCACCTGCGGGAGTCCTCCACACATCCTGAGATAGGAGCAACATACAGTCGATTCCAAACTGGGAAAATTCAGCATCTTTGATTGTTAAAATAATTAAATTAAAATATTTGGTGATTATTTATTTACTAAATTAAATATTAAATACCAGCGTAAATGTAATGTGTATCCCAAGCAAACTTTTACAACACATTTTAAATTTGTGTTAAGAATTTGTGCATGAAAAAAACGTTTGTTTTTTTAAGGCAAGTTTTTTCCCTGATAACTTAGTCAGACTTTTTGTTTACTTTTTAACCTCTCTATGAACACAAGTAGTTTGCTGCACATTTACCTCACTTTTGCACTTCTTCCCCTTTAGAGTTGCACTAGAAAATTTCCAATTTGTGTCTTTTCATTAATTGTTCAGTAGAATGTCAGGTGTGGCATTGACTTGAAAGATAGGTCCTTGAACAGGGATTGTTATGGAATCATATTTGTTTTAATTGGGCACAAAAAATATATATTTTAATGTTATTATAACAAAATGAATTATAAATCAATCTCATTTTATTTTAAGCACTTTTTGCTGAAAGAAAAGGCAATATTAATGTTGAATTGCTTTTTCATCCATAAATTTAAAATTGATTTACTTTAATTTGTCAGTGCCAAGGCTTCACCTTTTAATACACTGATGGGATTTTTGATGAGAAAAGGCTGCGTAGGACGGTCCATAATGGACTCATCTGACAGACTTGGCCACATTTACATGTCTGCGAGCTGAGGCAGCGCTGGCGTTTTCTAATTTTACTGACATGCTTCAATTTCCCAGGGCCATCAGCACTGTCCCCACTGCCACAACAGCCATTCCATTCATTTCCATTTGACTTTTCTCTTATCTGCACAAGAAAAGCATTTCCATCTACTAGCCGGCGGGTGTTAATGTGAAAGAGGGGTTTAAATTTTATGAGGAGAGGCCACATTTAAACATTTGACCAGCGTTTGTTCTCCTGGCTGCATATAGAGAACTGATGATAGATAGGGGACCAAATGTCAGAGAAGAAATGGCTTTTGCCATAAATGTTTTATTCAGCCCTGTGTCACGGTGATCACATTTATAAAATACAAAATGTAAATGTTATGCAGAGTATTAAAAAAACTATATATTTTATGACCTTCCATAAACGAGTTAAATTACTTTCTATCCAAATAAGACTGAAATGAAACACAAATGTAATAGAAGTGTGAAATGGGAGCGAGAGCTCCTCCAGAAAGCACAGGGTTATATTCACTTAACCCGTCGACTGAGGCTCTAACCTGCTCAGATTTATGCCTGTCTGTGGCAATGCCTGTCTGCCTTCTGAATGAATAAAATAGAAGCCTGTCTGTCTTTCTAGGGAGCGCATCTACCAAGGGGCAGGAGTCGTTTTTTTTTTTTTTTTAAATGTTAATGTCATTCAGATTTATGAGAGACAGATAGTTGGTTGCAGAGGGTAAGGCAGGCCCGATAGCGTTGATGTCATTGAAATGCACACAGACAAAAACGTTTGCCCCTGAGCTTTGACAGCACCCTGAAGACGGAGTCATTGCAGGCTATGTGAAAAAGGGCAACAAAACCCCAAAAACTGCAATATAAAAATACCCAGCAGTTCCTGCTGTTTTAATCACTTTGTTTCTTCTAGGTTAAGAAAAGCAATATGCAATACAAGCTACATTTATTAGCACATAAACTGCCTTTGTCCAGTGGAGCTTGAAGAGAAGGCTAGAACGTAGGAGGTGGAGAAGGAAAAGAGGAAGAATGCTGGCATGAAAGTGTATTAATTCTCACATTCCCCTGCTGTAGACTGGCTAATATGCAGGCTCACTTTCCAAGCCAAGGGCTAGACAAAGGCTCACAGGAGCGATCTCTCTGTGTCAATCTTTCCCTCTGTCTCACATGCTTCTCTTTCCGCTTTTAGATTTCCAAAAAGTTTCTTTTTTGGAAACAGTTAAAGTAAAACAATCTCCTTATTTCATTGGATTTAATACAGCTTTGCATTGGCATCTATCTGAATGAGTTGTCTCCTCTCTCTCTCTCTCTCGCTCGCTCTCTCTCTCTCTCTCTCTCTCTCTCTCTCTCTCTCTGCATATATGTGAGATGGCCTGAAACAGTATAAATCACCTTGGTCAGCCATGCTGGCCTCCATGCCAAGTGCCACTGCATTAAATCACGTTAATTGATTAGTTGAAGTTCAAAGGAGGACGGCGGTGAATTGCACTCAGCCCTCAGCTGCTCCATTAATGTGACTCCCACTTACATCAGGTGACGACCTAAACACCTACACCCTCAATTAGTGCACTGTCTGTGTTTTATTATTGCAGTGGTTACTTTGTCCTTCCTTTGCTCAGATTTGATGATAATTAATTTGCTCAATAACTCAGTGTGTACACCCGAACAGACCTCCAGAGTTCAAATCATAACATGGTTGTATATTGTATTTCATATTGGGTATTCACATGCTGCATGATAACTAACTCAAACCCTGGCTATTGTTAAGATTGTTATTAGGTAAATCAATATAAAATCTGTAAGACTTTCTATAAAAGATTGTGGTAAGTAATTGGAACTTTTATTTAACAGAGAACATAAAAAGAAAAGGCACAACAAACGCAAAGGTTTGTCAAATATCTTGTAAATAATATTTCTAAATAACGTTGTGATAAAAAGTGGCTTTTCTGGAAAAATAATTTGTCTCATTATACCTTAAGTCCTGAACCAAACTTAACAAACCTGTTCACTTCACCCAAGACTTTTTCTTGATTGTCAGGCAGAGAGTGAGAAGAATGGTGAAAAAATAACCACAGGATAAAAGAGCGTGAGACAATAAGAAGCTGAGGCTGCGAGGATTGAACCTGCAAACCTTGACAGTCACCCTGACAACAGACAGACAGAAACAGGGCAATGAGAAGTGGGAAAAAACTGCAGCTAAAATAAGAAATGCAGATAGAATAATAAAGTGAAATAGAAATCCAGAATAAATTCATACAGCAGGGTTATACCTTGGTCGTGTTGCATATTCAGTTCACATATTTGAGCCACTCTGACACATTTAAAGTATTACAAAAACACTGCAATAGGGTGTTGTTACCAACAAAGAATTCAAGATGAATTAAAGTGTGCTGTGCCTCAACCTACTCTCCCAGTCGTTCTACTTTGTTATAGAAACTTAACTCTTCAGTCTCTGGCAGTTATCAATCATGTTTAGTTGGAAAACACATGTCACATTTAACAAAGGAGAAGAAATGCATGCTGGGATTTAGCTCAAAAAGTGATGTGTGTGCTGTGAACACTGGTCTCTGTAAATGGCTGTAACACATCTTCCACAGTATGTATTGTGACAGTGTGAATGTGGCTGCCCAGAGAATTATTGCCTCAGTTTGCAGATCCACTCAGATGGAACTTATCGTGAACTGGATCTTATTTTTTAAGCTGCTTGGTATGTGAGTTTATGATCGTGGCGACCTGACAGTGTTATAGCAGCAGCAGCAGCAAAAGGTGCAGAGACCGGAGGGAACATAATTCTTCAACAGAAGTAGGTAAGGACATATTACTGGGATACTGACATGACCTCTCAGGAGTTTTTCAAGGGATTATTTTCTTAAGCTCCTTCTGTATGTTTCAGGTTTTCACCTACTCTTCAGGACTGGAATCACCTGATCTAAAAAGGAATCTTGTTTGAGCCATATGTACAGGATAAGTACTTGTGTCCTTATGTTGTTATGACCATAGACAAGGATCATTGCCCACTCTCAGTTCACCATCACCGTCACAGTACAGTACAGAGCAGTCCTGCATGTTTCTGTACTGGAGGAGGAAAACAGTGTCACTGGAGAAAACCTATGAACACTAATCAAAAAGTTACACTCCTCACAGAGAGACCTTTACTGTTCACTCCACAAAAGTCTGAATGAAAAGTAAAGGGGGACATATAGACACCGTTTGTCTCTACATGTCCCCCATGCGACATTTGTGATTGGCTCCAGCTCCCATGTGACCCTGCACAGGATAAAGGGGTAGAAAATGAATGAATTAATAAATGTTGTTAAGTAAATTGAATGCCAAATTAATCTAAGGTGCCTAAATAAGACTAGGTGCAATGTCTTTTTTGTGATTTTTTTTTTCTGAGTTAAAAATCCATTTTACATCTGAGATGAGACAAACACATTACAGAAGTACAGGGGATTGAACCTGTGATCTTCTTGCTGACTTATCAGGACTTTTCTTGTCGACTTACACTAGTAGTTAAACAGAAAATCTTTTCTCCAGCCTCCCTCTTAAAAGGAAATGTTCCTGAGCTCCAGCACGCCTTACCTCCACACAGAGCTCTCACAAACTGGCTCGAAATTGAATTTACTGCTGAACTGCTGTCACTGCAATGTTATTTAAGTATTTGCGAAACTCACTTTCAGTTGATCTGGCTCCACTTCCTCAGGTTCATGAAAGTAAGATTAAAGACAGACTAAAAGTATA